GTTGAGTATCAGATTGTTCCATCTCATTTCCCTTTGGGGTTGCTGTAGATGATCCAGAAGTTTGTTTTTGAAGCTTTTTTACATGTCTTCTCATTTCCACGGGGTGGGGGGGTGTGCTTCTGATGGCCTGAGTGGCTCAGCTTCTCTGCCCTAGGAGCTTGGGATGGCAGCGGGGGAGCCCTGTATATTCATTTACTCATTCAACAAATATCTATTATGGGCCCACAGAGACAGGAAGGTGGGACATAAGAGTAAACCAGGGAGGCACAGGCCCTAACAGACTCTAGTCAACTGGACAGGTTATGGTGTAAACCATACCTGATAATGACAATAGTACAGAAACCCCAGATAGTGTGAATATGGTGTGGTAGGCACTGTTAGAGCTTCATCACAAATTCACTCACTGAATTTTTATACCAAACTCATGTAGCAGATACTTTCCCAAGATTACATAAGTAGTCAATGTGGATTTGAACCTGGGCATCTGACTCCAGAGGCTGTGCTTTTAACAGCCATGCTGTTTGCCTCTCTAAATATCTGAATTATGCTCCCATTGAACCTAGATGATCTTTATACAAGCATATAAAAAAATCTAGTGAATCAATTGAGTAAAGAAGATAGTTATGTACTTCCCTTAGAGATACATAAGCAGAGACAGTGAGTCAAATAACTGGAGGCAGTCACTGGCCACTGGTGACCCAGTGCCCTATGACAGCATTCTCCTCCCCCAACTCCCACCCCACCACTGCTTGCCTTCCAACACAGCAGCTGTTTTCAGGCAACAGCATTAGGAGAAAGGTTGCTATAATGCCATTTTTCATCTCACTCAACCCTAAACCTTTCATCTGTATAACCACAGGGCTCCTCTAATTTCAATCAATTTTGACCTTCAGTGTCATAATCTCTTATGCCTGCCAGAACCTTCTGGCAGAAATGTTCAAGGAAAGCCAAATTGGTGTGTTTTATTTTGTTCTTCTCATTTAAAAAAGTGTTCACATAACTAGACACTACATGCTAGGTGCTCTGCTGGAGTGTTTGCAAGGTAACAAAGCAGCAGGAAGGAGAGCGGGTCTCAGTCACTACGTTCATTTCTTATTACAAGGCAGACACCCTCCAGTTCTGGATGCCTGAGCACAAACTACATGACAACTGGAACTTTGTGCAATAAACCTTTTAGATTTACAAGACACCATCATCAACAACATTTTACAATAAAAATGACACTGCTCATATGAAGGGAGAAAATCCACTTCTAATTAGATGAGAATGATTAAGAAAAAAATGATTATACTTACAGGAGGGCATTGTGCGAGTTTATCAGCTGCCACCAATTGTACATTCAAGTGTTTACTTTGGGACTTTCCTCTAGATTTAATCAACCGCTGTAAAACCTGATAGAAGAAGACATGAATCTGAGGAATTGCCAATGAGTTGAAAAAAGCAAATAAACCAGGAACATTTCAAGTCTTTTCAGACTTGAGGACTAGTAAAGAGGAAATATGGTATGAGCAATCAAATGCTGTATAAACCCTGTAACGATGCCATCCACTTACACTGGCTTCAGTATCATGGACTTTGTACGTTCATCCTGTTCTAGCTCCACCTGAGGTATTGGTGGGATTCTGAGTTCCCACTTTAGATTTTGAAATCTCTTTGACATTTTAAAGAGTCTTGCCAAAGTGGAGGAACTAGTTTGTACCAGATCACTTATGTTGAGTAATATTTTTTTATTCAGTTGAGCAATATTCTGGCTTACCAACTCCATGTTAGATAAATATCAAAGTTATTTACATATTTTGTTATTTTTGTCATTCACAATTAATGAGACATTCCAGTTTAATTTTATATTAATCAGACTGTTTCATTGGAAATCTAGGCAAAACACTTGCATTGGTACATTCTTATACTAAGCCGATATATCTGTCTTTTGGTCACTATTTCAAGTGTATTTGGCCATATCCTCTCCTTTTATTTAATATTTTTGTTAGCTCAATTAGGATGCTCTCTCCCCTGAAACAGTGCAAGTCTATCAAGCTCCATGACACCTTAGCTCCCCGGTGAAAGTCCCTGGTCCTACACTTAAGGATGTAATTAGTGACTGGAGCAGTGGGAGGGCTGACCTCTCCTCCACTGTGGTGGAGGGGACTTGAATCCCCAAAAGCTCAAGGTCAGGGAGCTGGGCAAGGCAGCTTCAGTCCATTCTACTGATTCCCAGAACCATCAAGATTCCCAAGTTTACTGCATGTAAGCAGTGCCTGAAGAGACAGAGGGCTGAAGATCTCAGAAGTTCTGGAGGAGACATGGCTCCTTTAGGCTTCCTCCACCGTTGAGAGGAGACCGTTGCTCTAGCTGCAAGTTTGAATTGAGTCAAATAAAATACACTCTAGAAGGCACTGAAAAGAAACTGATTATTAAGATAATGTGAAATAGATAACCTTGTGAGGTATTAACTTTTTTGTTTTCTTTTTTAGTTTATTAGTACACATAGGTAGTAAATAACATTTACATTCCTTGTGTGGAGTTGGTACATGTGCATTAGACACCTTAAATCCTCTTCTCATCCCTTCCCTTCCCTCCTTCTCCCTCCACCTGTCTCTTGATCCCCTTCCTGTTTTCTTAGGGTGGGGTGCATTCTGGCAGTACGTAATGTTCACATTCCTTGTGGAGTTGGTGCATGAATACAACATATCCCAATTCCTTCTTTCCATCCCCTACCCCTCCCTCCATACCTCCTTCCATCCCTTAATCCCCTTCTCCTCTGAGAACATCTATCTCCCTACTTCCTATTACCTATCTTTTATTTTGCTCTTTATTTTTATTCTGGTTTTCTCCTGTAAGAGAAAGCATGTGATATTTAAGGTTGTGTGTCTGATTCGTTTCACTTAACATTTAAGGACATCACTTTTAAAAATAAAAGGACGTTCAAATCAAGAAACAAATCTGCGGGCCGGGGATTTAGCTCAGTGGCACTGTGCCTGCCTCGCAAGTGCAAGGTCATGAGTTCTATCCCTGGTACCCCCCCAAAAAATTTGGGATGGTCTTACTTTTATTTTTCTCTCCCCTAGTTGCATGTTATATAAAGATACATCACAAATTGTGCTTAATCACAGTGGAACTATAGTCCTCAATGCACCCAACCTATGCACAAATGTCAAGGTCTGTAACACTTCCATGAGACGTTTACATAATGATATTTCACATTACGTATGATAAGTATAGACACTTTTCTTGAGCTATATTCTCTCCCAAATAGGGGGGAGGGATATTGCTTATTGAAGAATCAGTATCACCCAAGAAGTTTAGCAAGATAGAACCTACAGTCTATGAAATGTCAGAGTCTACTTTTCCTCACCTTTGTTAATTTTTTGTTTCTGTTATATACTTGCCTAACTAGCTGGTTTGGGAACAAAACAGATAATTGAGTTTCTCGAAGGAACAGACTATTCTTTACTCACTATCTCAAAATTTCCTAGAACCTGCACATTGTTTTAAAATGTACTTATTAACAGAATCTCAGTAAGACCTTCTTACTAACAAAAAAGAACAGAACAACGAATATTTCAAAAGAAATGAATTTCTAATCCTTAAGACAGAAATTAATTAGTTACCTTTGGAGATGAGACTTTTACATGAACAATAATTGGTGCTAAGGAAGTTTTTATAAGTTGTGCTGGGTGATTGATGGTGTCTGCATCAAGAACAACTAGTTGCAAAGATCTTGCCAACTCAAAGATTCTTTCAATTTCACTTTGTACTTCCGCTAAAAGGAAAAACAAAAACAGGTACTGGTTATTCTCATTAATTACTATTTATAATAAATAGAAACAGATATGTTGTCTACATTATAAAACAAAATGTTTCAAATTTTTATAGGCCGAATGTAAGATATTTTCTAAAGATAAGAAAATAGGTTGAATTTTGCATACAACCAAACAGTTGGAGGAAAAACAAGGTAGTTTTGTTGATTACCTTCCACACTCAGCCTAAAATTTAGCTATTTATATAGCAATGGTGATTCTTCTCTGTTGTTTTTGATTGTTGCTTTGTTCTAAAGAATTTTCATTTTTAGCTATAATCTGAAACCACATTCAGGAAACAAGTAAAGTGCACGTGAAATGTACCATTACAGAGCAAGCAAATTATATGAAATTATTTCTATCCATCAATAAGTTATATATAATATTTTGCAGATATACTTTAAAAAAAACTACAACTTGTATTGATCTCACTAATTGTTCTAAGTGTTCTCTTTCAATTAACATATTATTAAGTCCAGTTGAAATTAAATATTACAGACAGTGGGCTTTTCAAAGGTATACTTATCCACAATATTAAAAGAACAAACAACTAAGGGCTAACTATATTAAAATACCACATTGCATCTAGATGCAAATCTATTTGGCGGGCTATAGTAGCCAAGTAATTGGAATCTATGCATGAGTTTGGTCAAATAAGTCTAGTTCTTTTTAAATATCTGAAGCAATCCAGCTAATTTTTAAAAGGAAAACAGTTGATTAAAAATATATTCTGGTTTTCTGAAATATATAGACTTTCATGAATTTTGTAAACCACCAGATTTACTGGATAATTCCCCAAATTTGAACTATACTATTTTATTTTCAGAGAAATGATTTTGTTATATTGTTTTTTAACTATTTTATGGCTAATAAAGTTATGTCCAGTCCAAAGCACACAAAATAGACAAAATTACAAAATGATATCAAAGATGGCCTAGAGAAAAGGTAGAGCTGCTCTAAATATCCTCATGAGAAAGGGTTTCTGTGAGAATCCCATGGTTTGCTTTGTTTATCCAGTAAAAATTCAAGGTTGGATCACCTACCAAAAAATCCACCTTCGACACAGATATAAAAATAGAAGAGCTGAGGAACATGATGGAATCTCAACATAGAAAACAAATGGAATCCATAAAACAGATGCAAACAGATTTCCAGGAGATTAAAAA